TCCGGATATTGTTATTGATAAACTCTAGCCTACGCGTACAAGAAATTTACGCCACAAAAGGAATTAATAAATGAGTGAAGTCAAGGGAAAACCAGACTTAGAACTTTAAATTTATCATTTAACCGTTATCTGACTCAATTATACAGATATTTCAAGTATTGAGTCCGGTAAATTGTAGCCTGACCTGAATTCTTTGTTTGGTGTCACTCAAATAAAAGTTTAGCCAGTCACGTAGATAAGATGATAAAGACTCCCTTCCTTGTGGAGCGTAGAGACGAAGGCGTTGGGGTACGTAGCTGACGGCGCATGGAAAAAAAATATATTATATCGCATGATACTTAAAATGTTATATGTTATTAAATTCCCTTAGTACGATTAAAAAAAACTTTAAAGTTTGATAAAAATATTATCAAATGACACGTGCTATAAAAACGGATCGTATATGTGATTCAATCATGTAATATCCCAATTCTCCAAGCCTAGGTCCGTTACGGTGAAAACTTAAATATTCAACTCGAATAGAAATGCCGTATTTAATCATGTGCGAAAGTATTGGTCAAATTTTCTATACATGTTCGGTATAAAAACTTTATTTTATTACATAATAAAATAAAATTATTTATAATGAGCCGAATCCTTAGAACAGCCAGTCTGGTATAGAAAGAGGTGGCTGTAATGTGTACACACATTCCTATCATTCCCGTCTATAGCATAAATTGCATACGAGATGATTATTATCTATCACGTATACTTCCGAGAGTAACGCAATTCTTGTACTATGATATTCGGAAATATCAATATGAATGAGAACTTATCACATCTCGTGGAATTACGTAATTCAAAACATTTTATTTTTATACTACGCTAACACCAAGTTCCAGGTATATCTTTTAGTGCACAGTGATATATGTATGCAGAGTACATATGCATATACAGTACTTAATACTCTAAAAACCTTGTAAGAACCTTCGGATCTTTGAATGTCAGGGTCGCTCTTTGTGGCGCACATCGATTATGCTATTTCACATTGATGATATGCAGTAAACAAATGCATGTCATCAAAGAATCGAAAAAGAAAACTTTACAATCGAACCTTGTATAACACGTTTAAGTTATCTTCAACAGAAATTTCCAGCTTTAGGTTTTTTAGTTGCGGGGCAATTCATATTGATTGAATATATTTAACACGGTTTTCTTTGGATGATAAAGTCAAGATGTTGAAAAAAAAAAAACAACCTACGATTCATGTGAATATTAATGCATAAAACTAAAATCCAAAAAAGAAAAGAAAATACAATGTTCCCTTAGGAAACACCAGTTACTTGAAACATTGCAAAATCAGATAATATTATTGGATGTAAGAATATGCAGATTATGCAAGTTGACACATTCACTATACATTGGAGAATCTCAAAAAAAAGAAAAAAAGATTTAATTCATCATCATATGCTAATATGCTAATATACTATATAATATAAAATGGTATTTTATATTTGTAGATTACGCTTACCTTTTTTGTAATGTGTTATATTCTGTAAAAGAACAAATAGGTGACAAAGCTTTAATTGTTTTTGTTTAATGTCTCATTAATATTAAAATTATTACGTACTGTACATCAACTCCACAAAATTATTTAATGACATGATCCTTTTTAAAAAAATTTCTTGCCAAAATTTGTTTGTTTATCTATTATATCTGTTTTGTTGTTTTCTTTGTGTCGGGTCAATTTGTAATAATTATTACTGAAAAAACCAAAAATTTATTGGCTCGTTGTTACGATTCATCCCTTTTTAATAGCATTTAAAATTATGGAAACTTTTCCAAATTTTGATTATCATGATTTCAAATTAGGCTTTTTACCGATGAATTCTCAAAAACAACACAATGTTAATGGTAAAAATTCTTCTATGTCTAACGATTACCAGCAACAGACTATCACTCTCACTTCATCAAACAATTTGGCTTCTGCAAATTCCCTAAACTTTTCTCAGCAGTCTACCGCTTCACCTTTCTCTTTGAACGATATGTTATCAAGTTCTAACGGTTCTGACAATAATTCTTGTTCAGAATCAGTAATGATGTCTCCTTATTCCGTTATTCTAAATTCTGGAGAGTTAACGATGGATGATGCTTTCTTCGAAGACTCTGAGGTTGCATTTTCTATTAACAATAAAAATAATTGCATAACTGGATAAATCCATATTTTGATCTTAACTTTCATGTTTATTTAGTTTTTTTTCGAACCTTTGGGATCTCCGGCTTTAGTTGATCCATATATTTACTTATCTCCTGCTTTAACCTCTTCAATTTCGCAATCGGATCAAGCTATGTGTTTATCTGATAATCTGGCAAGACAACCTAATCAAAATAACCAAAAAATTGAAAGAAATAATTCCTTGGATCAAATTCGAATAAAAGATTCTATTCGTCACAATGATAATAACTCCAATACTGATCCTGATAATAACAACATTACGAATAACATAATACCAACTATAATGACAGGTTCTCCTTCCATACCACCAAATTCGAGCATGTCGTTGGCGTTGTCTTCGACAAATACTATGATAACGTCATCTCCAACTGCGCAGGAACCTATGCCAAACTTGTCCCTTGGGAGTAACCTTGTATCTGAAGCAGTGTCAACTCAATCTCCATATACTCTTCTACCCACTACAACTTCTAATAATCCCACTTTATCTGATAAGATTGCACCAATAACACCATCTTCATTGATGAAATTGAATGAGAATCCCTCTTCACCCGGATCTACTCAAAACGCTCAAAAAATTGACAAACAACAGCAAATTACACAAAGTTCTCGAGTATCAAATGAGAAACGTACTTCTAACAAAGAATCTACTTTCGTAGTTCCTCCTCCACCGACACAGTCAAGATCTATCCGGGTTACAAATATTGATGTGTCGCAACATATGCGAGCTGTATCCCCAAACACGTCTCCAGTATCACCAGGAACTAATCCAATGTTAATGTCACCAATGATTTTACCATCACCTCCGCCTGGAAAAAGGATTATTCATTCAAATCAGTCAGTTTGCACTCCATCCACACTTAATTCTTCAAAGAGTCCTCAAGCTTTGAAACCAACAATAAGTCCAAATTTAAAGCCAAGATTGTCTGGTGTAACAGCCGATGACGCGGCAGAACAATTGGCAAATAAATCGAATTATGTCAGTATTTTAGAGGGTACAGCGAAGTATGTATTAAATATATATATATATTAAATATATTTACCATAGCAAACACTTAGCTAATTTTTTTTTATGTGGTAAAAGATCTCTTGGTATTTCCTATTCCTCTGATGTACATACAAGTCTAGAATCTCGACGCACAACTCATAAAGCTGCTGAACAAAAACGAAGAGATTCACTAAAACGAAGTTTTGATGAATTGAAAAAAGTTATACCAATCAACTCGACGTCCAATAATGCTAACATAAATAATAACGGATGTGATGGAAACAATAACAGTTCAATATCGGGCAAAATTGTTGACAGTAATGGATCGATAAAAAATGTTTCCAAATTGTTTTTATTAAAACGAGGTAAGTTATATATATACTCTATATTCTTAAATGATTTCGTTAATTGATGTTAATATGTTTATTTATTGTTATACACATAATAGCACATGACCATATTGTAGAGCTTCAACAACAGACAAAAGAAAAAGATTTGATAATACGAAACCTTAGGAACGAAATTGATGAACTTAAGGTAGTAAAAAGGCAAAAAGTTGATCAGATTCAGCAAGATGATAGTGCTGTAGCATCAAATATACAGGGTAATAAATAATATATATATATATATTTCAGCCGTTTTTTAATTAGAAATTTTGATTTGGTGTGTAGTAATATACGTTTTACAAATTTCTACTTTATTATATAAATTATAAATCAATATATATACATGTGTGTTATATGTGGAAATAGATGGGTTTTAGAATATACATAAGTTAATTTCAAAAGAATATAAGTTGTAAGCAACAAAAATTAAGAATTCCAATTTAAGTAAACCAAAACTAAGAAAATTTTAATTTGTTTTTAGAATTTAAGTAAACCAAAATTAAGAAAATTTTAATTTGTTTTTAGAATTTAAGTAAACTAAAATTAAGAAAATTTTTAGAATTTAAGTAGCTTTAAGATAATATTTAGACGGCAAATTATAACAGATAAATTTTATCGTATTAAGATTGTACTAAGAATAAATTAAATTTATTGTTTTAAAGCCTACAAACTTTTATATCTATAGTATGATTATTATAATAGCACTATACCAGTACTTTATAGAGGCTATCTATAAATAATGTTACCAAGTATATATAGCTTGTTATTCTTCTTATCTCTCAAATATAAGTTCTATTACATATGTAGATAGTATACTATATTTAAAAATATTATTATATATAAAAATTTTTGAAGTATATTTATTTAATTATTATAAAATGCATCTATGATGTTTAACATTATAAGATACATTCTAGTAAATTGATTTATTTTTTCTATTTAAAAAAAATTTTCTACATATTATAAAATTCACTGCATTATAATTAATTTTAAAAAACTTTTTATATAAAAAATTATCTTTAACTGTTTTTAACAAATTTAGATTTAAATTAATATTTATAAAGTTTATTAAGAATTGGTAAGTATTTTTTAATTAAAAAAAATTTTTTAAAATACAAAAATATAAAATTTAATACTACTATTACAATCAGAACCTCTCTAAGTGCACGCCCTTGGGACCACACTTTAATGAGAGGGTGTGCACTTAGAGATATCTGACTGTATACATTCTACTCCCGCTATAGTCACACAGTCTGGTAGAGACTTTGTGACTATAGTGAGAGAAACATAATAATAGTCACCTTGTGTGATTATATATTTCTTGTAAATGATTAGCGTTTTTATATAATCTCAAGAAAATGTGACTATTTCGGATGTGACTGTTGCAAGAGTAGACTGTATTTATTTAAAAGGTTTGATAATAATATGTCTTTATCCTATCTTTGCTAACTTTGAATAAATGAATTTTCATAACAATATCCAATACAGTATTATATGTTACAATACAGTATGTTGCGCCAACCCTATGATTTTTGATAATAAATGTCACGGATGATCATGAAATCGGATGATGGTGAAATTTCGACCTAATTTAATATGAAATTTTAAATTTTTTAGGGTGTATTATTCTAGCTTTTTTTTTAGTGATAGTTTAGAATTTAGGATTAGAGTTGCTTAGAAAAGAGTATAAGTAGATTTCAGTAGGTTCAAAAGGAGACCCCAAATTTCACCATCATTCGATTTCACGATCATCCGCGACAATAAATGAATATCTTACATTAATCTACAATAAAATCCAACATTATATATTCCACTAGCGTTTTCCATTTCTACAAGTCAACCCTAATTCCATTCAATAACAAAATCTGGCTTAAAGTTCTCATTAGATTCCAATTTTTAATAATAAGTTAATGTCTTACGATCATCCTTTTATTTCCAATCACTTTTTCATAACAATCTTTTACGATATTACATCTAGATCAGCAGATTCTGAGAATGTCTAAATGTTGATCCTTTTCAATTTCTAACTTCCATTTCGTAAAATATTTACATCTTCCCGAATTTTTATAATCCTTTTCTTTCAAATTCCTATTCTATGTTTATAACAACTTATTCTATTAGAATCTCTATCTTAATTATGATAAATTAGTGGCTTATACTTAACCCCTTCAACTTCAATTTCTTCAAATCATAACAATATATACGCAAACCAGGCAAAGTCAAATCCTTCAATCTTCAAATATCATTAGGTTAGATAATTAGTCCAATATATTCATACTCACAGTTTGAGTTGAAACTCATTTGAAGTTCTTAATTCCATTTGTCCATCTTTTATTAACAACATACATTTTTTCGCATATAAAACATCTCAAATCCACTTCTTAATTATATTAAATAACTTCTATATCTACTAAAATTAGCATTAAATAAAGGTAGCATTGCTTGCTGCATAAAAATAATTGCAAACTCGAATCACTTAAGTTAAATAATTAATTAAAAAGATCTTTTTATACTCAACTAAACTAAATCAGCACGAATAAAATAAACTTAGAGAATAGCATTGTGTAAGGTTAAATAGGTTATTTTGAATATGTTGACTAAAAAGATCCTTATACTGTACTCACCAATCAAAATAACGTAAACGATTGAAAGGCTGTATTAATATCCACAAACTGGAATCACTTATCCTAAATAATCGACTATATATTACTGTAAAATTAGTTGAATAACGTATATAAATTAACGCAACAATTGAGAGAATCGATGTCGATATGGTGTGTCAGAAACTTAAATTTATAAGCACGCGGTTGATCTATAGATTGACTCATGGATTGATCCACAGATGACTCGCGGGCTGCCCATCCATAGTACAACCTCTGGTAGTGTTCCAATCGAAAATCGATTAATCGTTTAGTTGATCAAGTTGACAACTAATCAATTAATAATTGTATTAAACAATTAATCGATTGACAATAATTAATCGATTAACTAATTAATCGATTGGTTGTTTTTATATAGCTGGAACTAAGAAATGTAAAATATGCTTTGAGACACATTTTGTTTAACCCATTTTTAATTTTGCAAATAGCAAAATATTTGTGGTTTATTTAGTAATATGTTTATTTCTTGAAAATTCATTTAAATCTAATATTAGAGTATACCTTTGTGATAAATTTATAATTTATTAGACTTATTTAATTATATATATATCATAAAAATTTTCAAGACCGAAGTTTACGGGATGATTCGTACGATCGATAACTGATAATCTATACCGTATTTGCGCGTAATAACGCGCAGGGGTGTAATCTCGAATTTCGGCCTAAATTAAGCTTAATTCGGCCGTGGCTCAAAATAACGTCCAGGCCCACTATTACGCGCAAATACGGTACTCTAAAATATAGACTTTATGAACAGTGTTGGGCAAATTAGTGGTCGACCAAAAATTTACTGGCCAAATTGGTCAAATCTATTAATATATATAATATATAATATATAATATTTAAATATACTATTTGACCAATTTGACCAGTACAGATCCTTTGACCAGACAGGTCAAATTGGTCTGGTCCAATGGTCAAACTGGTCTGGTCAAGCCAACACTGTTTATGATATAAGGCAACTCGCCAGAGCGTGACGTTGGTGATTTGGGTCATACAGTCGACTCTGGATATACCGAACCTGCTTATACCGAAATCGGGCTATAACGAACCGGATTTGGCAGAACGGATTTTTTATAATAAATTAGACTGGCTATACTGAAATTAAATAGTAAATTTTTATATACCGTATCCGAACTTCTGATTACCGGCCCAGAACTATGTATGCATATTTCAATACAGTATAGCGAACTATTATATAATTTCGCGGATATGCATGCATACGAAGTAATGAAATCCGAAATATTCCGAAAAAATGAGTAAAATTCCGAATATTTCCGGAAGCATTTTAGTTTTGTGAAAAATTTTATTGGTTAGCTTTATATACCGAACAGTTCGGTAGTATAGAGAGAGTATATTGTATAATGAACTTACTCTATACCGAACAAAAAGGTCCAGAATATGCAGTCCGGTATATCCAGAGTCGACATGATTAGGATCTTTTGGTGATTTAATGTTAGGCTTAATTTTATCGGCTTCTAAAAATTGGTTTTTTATTTCATTTTCATCATCAGAATCTTCTATTCTTCAATCCATGTAGTAATCAATGCATTAATATATCGAATATTAGGTTGTTTTCTCAGATTTGAATTCATGCATCACTTGGCTAATTTAATATAGCAATCAGGTGTACCAATTGTAAATTCTGGACGTAGTTCATGGCAAATTTTTATCACAAGTTCTTCGTCAAAGTTATAACCATCAAAAGCCTTTCTTCCAGTTGATATTTCTGAATAATGATGCCCAAAGCATAAATATCAACTGCTTGAGTATATGGGTTTCCTTGTAAAATCTCCGGTGCTATATAAGGTAAAACTCCGTACATTTCTTTTTTTGCATTAGATAGTCCTAAATCTGCAATATAAGCATTATCCAATAAATTAGAATTGTTTAAAATTACAAATAATCTATAAAAAGGGTATGTAGTAAAGTAGCATGGTATGAAGTTGCAAATAGTTCGAGCTTTCAAAGAAGTAAAATTGATTTTGCCAACTTAGACACACGCGTGATAATAAATATATAATTTATTACATATCGATCGTAATAAAAGTTTTCTTAAACCAAGAAAGATTTAAATAAGCTACGTGCAAAGAAAAACAATTTTAGCTCTCACCTAATTTTAACCATTAAAAAGGGTTCACTGTAAATGTTGAAGTGTCTTATGAACCATGCGTAATACTGAAATTAAGTCACTCACATTCAATTACACATATTGATGGAGTGAAATTTAAATGATTTTTCAACATTTTAATGTTTTTTTATACAGTATAAGTAACTATAGAGAAGCTAATTAATTTTATTTATTTTAGTATAAAATTTTTAAATAAAATTTAATTTTACAGTGCTTTTCAAATTAGTGTTCATCAAATATCATTTTGGTCTTTTCAAATTTTGATTGAAGATGTCTCGATATCCACCTGGCCAAATTCAATGAACTATTTTTTATTTTACTTGTGGACATTAGTAGAAATCGAATAAAAAAAAAAAATTTGTCGAATCCGATTAGGTGGGTATCGAGATTCTCCGAACAAAGTTTGAAAATGCACTTCTAACTTCTATTTGATAATCATTCAAATTTTTTACAAAAACTTTAATTGAGATATTTCGACACTCACCTAGCCAAATTCAATGAACTTTTTTTTGGTTTAATTGTAAAAATCAACGGAATCCTAATAAAAAAAGTTCATCGAATTTGGTCAGATAATGTTGAGATATTTTCGATCAAAATTTGAAAATGCACTTCTATTTGATAAACGTTCAAATTTTTTTACAAAAGCTTTAAATAGAAGATATCTTGACACTTATCCAACTCGTTGAACATTTTTGGTTTATAAGATGTATGAGTATTATGGCGCAGGTAAGTATTTCAGCTAATAATGCATGGTCTATCGATCAGAATTGAATAATTTTAAACTAACAATCTGAACTAATAACGTATCCAAACCATTATCTACATGAGAAAACCCTATTCTCCACTTTTGATACATTTTTATGATAAAAATTTATCATACCATTGCATTGAGTAACATTGATTAACTCGATTAAAAAGTCAGATTTTAGAATTTAATATAAATAAACAAATAAGGGGTTGTATGGTGCTCCAAGTCACTTGTCATCAAATGCGCCAAATTTACAAAACATTAATATATATATGTTATTAAGACGCCAATTTTATTCTAACTTTCATAAATTGTATATTATATGGGGTCTTAACAGCATCAGGGGTTAACTTATAAATAGAAATCGTGATAATAGAATTTTTACAAAATTTTAATGCAAGCTAATTCGATTTTAATACTATTATAGTGAGTAAGTTCTGTAACAAAATCTTATATGATAATATACTAATATTAACTTAACTACTATGTGAATCACATTAGCAATAATAGATTTTATAATTGAATTCTTTATAGTAACTCATAGTAAAAATTGCGGGTAAGTTCTTTAATAGAATTTTTTAGTAGAAATCACAATAGTTCCAATACTTACTCAACTTTAACCATTATGTATACTACTGTATATTAGAAAGCTCTATAACAAAATTTTTATATTAACTAACTGTGAAAATTACAATAACTAACTCGCTTACTTTGGTCACCAGAATAGTAAGTTTTGTAACAGTATTTTTTATAGTAAATTATATATTAGAATCACAATAATTTGTATCAGAATTCTTTATTACAGTAAATCAAGAAATTATTATAATTCCAATACTAACCCAACTACTATGTGTGCTGTACTAACTCATAATAGAAATCGCACTTTAACCAAATAGCAAATAAGTTCTGTAATAGAATTCTTTATGTAGAAATCACATGAAAATCTACAGTGACAATTCTAAAATCGATGTGTCTATCGCTTTAATGCATCATGTAATGAAGGGTCGAAAAATGCATGTTAGATTTGGCTGTGTGGTTAAGTAGAATTTTAGGATAGTGTAAGAGTAGCATAGGTTTTAGAAACAACTTAGCGAATATAAGTTCAGAATGTATTATACTTAGAGATGGGATTATAAGTTTAATAAAGACACTTTTAGATAATATATTAATAAAGCAAAGGAGGAAGTTATCATTTCCGAAAGGCTGAAAGGCCTTTATTTATAATTAATTCACTATCTATTTTTACATGCCAGAATTATCCTTATTGCTATGATTACTATTATTTTCCATATTCCCTCTTTTCACCTAATTGTCTGTTTTGAATAATACCGAAGTTCAAGAATCTATGTGATTTCTGGAATTTCTGGAATTTTTCTGATAAACCAAAATTTGGAATTCTCAGGACACGTCAGCAATAAGTTTATGTTTTGGTCTCAAACAGTAAACCATACCCTAACTACATACTATCATCGCCAAAATAATGCTAAGTTCTCGAACAGGATTTTTTACAATAACTAATAATGGAAATTACATTAATTCTAAATCTTAATCTTTAATCATTATACCAAATTAAAGAGTAAGCTTTATGACAATTTTTTATTGTAATTCATTGTAAAAATCAAGATAATTAACGTGATCTTAATCACTTTGATCACCAGAACAATAAGTTTCGTAACAATATTTTATAGTATAAATATCACAAAAATTCTTTATTATAGTACATAATAGGAATTACAATAATCCCAATGCAATCAGCTTACCCACATTCTATAATTACTGGAATAGCAAATAAGGTTGTAACGGAATTTCTTATAATAACTTGCCGTAGAAATTATGATAGCTACAATACAAAACCTTAACCACTGCATGTACTGCAATGGTAAATTTTTTATAGTAGAAAACACATTAATTCTAATACAACCAACTAATCTTAACGCATGATGTGATCACTGAATAGCAAGTTATATAACAGAAATTTTCAGTAATTATGATAAAAATTATATTCAAGTACATACTACACTAGCAAGTAAATTCTGTAACAGTAAACCATAATAAAAATTATGATAATTCTAATGCAACTTAACCGTAGCCGTATACTTTGTACACTGCAATAGATCATAAGTTTTGTAATAGGAATACAGCAGGGTTACTAATAAAAAGTACTGAATAAGATAGGTGGCGCGAAGCGCCCACCTATCGAACTAGTATTTAGATAAACAAACATGCAAAAGGCCAAATTTCGGCAAATTTGGCAAAACAACGTTTCACAGTTTTAAGGGCATTGTTAATTAAATATGTACGTATATGCGTACGGACGTCCTACCCCAATACAAGGACCTCATGTTGTATTTAGGCCCTATGACTACCACAGGTAGCGAAAGAACCTACTTTTTTAAGAAAAAAAAAGTTTTTCTTTTTTGTTTTTACCATTATCATAACTCAACGCTTAGATTTCATTAGTGATGTCTCAACAAAACCACCCTGATTATACTCCTAGTTTACGAGGAGATTATTATAAGCCTGGAGGACCAGCTTATGTGGCTGCCCAGACACTCGGTGCCGTCCAAACTGTAGGAGATGCAATTACTCCATTCATTCCTTTATTCACCATGGTTGCGAACGTTCTTAAACAAATGTTGGATATTTATGATAATGCAAAATGTAATGAAAAAATATGTGCTGCTTTATTAGATCGTGTTGAAATTGCACAAACTGCTGTTAAATCATTGCAACGTAAATATCAGGCAAATGAAAAAAATTTTAGAAATCAAGATTATTATCATGCTTGGGTTAGATTTGTTAATGTTTTGGAGAATATTAGGAAATTTGCTAAAGAAGTTACACAATTGACATACTATCAAAAGTTTATAAATGCCAATGCTGTTAAAGAAGCTTTTGAAAAAAATATTAAAGAATTTGAAGAAGTTTGTGGTGATTTAAACTTTACTATGGCTATGTACAATGCTGAACAAAGAGAAATAGAGGCACAAAATGTAGCAGAAGATCTAGAGATTTTGAAAAAGGTATTGTGTTATTATAAATTTATCTATTTATATAAATCCTTTTTTTTGCTAATTATTCATGTATGAACCGCAATAAATTCCAATTAATGTATTATAGTCAATGGATGACATGAAAGATGAAATTAAGGCTGAAATTAGGTTAGCAATAACAGAAATTTCCATGGATAAAATGGGACTTACACTGATCGAAGAGTACAAAGCTCCCAGTGTAGATCCAAAAGAATTACAAGATCCATTTTCTTCTAAAGATAACGTTCGTGGAACCAACAAAACTGTTCGTAAAAAAATTTTCCGTGGAATGGAGGTAGCATGTAAAAAAGTTACATTGGTTAAAGGCAATTATGGACCTTTCGATCACGCAAATCTGAAAAAACAGCAAAATGAATTAGCTGCACTTCTCAAATTATTTTTCTGTCCGTACATTATTAACTTTTATGGGATTTCGTATATAGAAAATAGTGAAGTTATGATTTACGATTGGGCTCCATATAGTAATCTACGCGAAATGTATTCAAAATATGATATCGATTGGCCTACAAAATTACGGTTTGCGCGTGATATATTTAACGGTCTAGTATTTATGCATCAATTTAGTCTTTATCATCATGACGTTCGTTGTGAGAATATCTTGGTATGTATATAACTCAAAGACTAGAATTGTTAATCTTTTAGTCGATTAATAGATTAGTTGATTATTAATTTGATTTTTTAGTCAATTTTGTAAATGATAGCTTCAATTGATTGATTAATTTTTATCTTTCATAAACTTATAATTGATAGTTAATAACCAATTGATTATTTATATAAACAATAGGTCACTCATGGATTTGAGCCTAAAATTTCAAATTTAGGCACTATAATAGGAACAACTATATCAAGACACGATATTTTTCGATGGTTGGCACCCGAAATGATGCGAAAATCCCTAAAAGGAGGTACACAAAGATATAATCATCAATGTGAAATGTACAGGTAATTAAATATCTAACAAATCTTTAGCTTTAACAACATTTTTATAAAGTTATTAACTTATTACGTTTTTGAGCATAGCTTTGGAATGATGCTTTGGGAGCTTTGTCATCAAAGGTTTCCTTATGATGACATGGAAGATATAAGTGAAATCCAAGAACATGTTTTGAGTAAAAAACGAGAAGCTTTTGAAAACTCTCTTTGCCCATCACCAATTCAAAAAGAACTTTATAAACTCATTAAAAGGGGTAAACATATTTATTCTCATAACTTTACATTTTCATAAGTTGTCCATTTAACTATGCATTAAAATTAACTTTTTTTCATCAAGCTTGGGATGTTGAACCTTCAGCACGTCCTTCTGACATGGAAATGCAACATAAACTTAAAGAACTTTATCAAGAGCATGTTTTTATTAAGGAGATTCCATTTGATAGTTTATCTGATGTTAAAGAAATTGGTAAAGGAGGATTTGGTTCCGTATATTCAGCAGTTTGGTTGAAAGGCATTCGAAAAATTGATGGCGATGATTATAACTATGTAAGAGGACGTGAAACGTCCAGCATCGTTGCACTCAAGACCTTTTCTGGATCTTTAGAAGAAGTGAGTTAAAAATTATTAATCCAAAAATTTGTTAAATATACAATGAACTAATTCTTTAATTAATTACAAAGTTTGCAAGTTATGTAAAAAGTAATTCGTATGGTATTAGGCTTAAGATATGTGGTAGTAGACTTAAGATATATGGATTAACTCAAAACAGTGAAAATGAATATTTGATAGTATTTCAATATGCTGATAATGGGAATCTTTATAAGTTTTTAGAAAAAAATTTTCAAGATCTTACTTGGAAGATTAAATTAAAACTACTACTCAATATTTCAAGTCATTTATATGATACTCATAATGCAGGAAATACTCATGCAAACATTCACGGTGGCAATATTTTGCTGCATAAAGACATTTGCAATAATATGCAATCTTATATTTCGGATCTGGGATTGTCTAATAGACATAACAAAATTGATTGTATTTATGGAGTCATGCCTTATTTAGCCCCGGAAGTTTTATCAGGTCGGTTGTTTACAAAAGTTGCCGACATTTATGCTTTTGGAGTCATAATGTCAGAAATGTCAACTGGGCAAAGACCATTTGATGGCTATCAATTTGATATTGAACTTGCAGTATATATTTGCAATGGTCTGCGTCCTGAATTTGCATCTGGAACTCCTGAATGCTATATTGAATTAGCTAAAAAGTGCATGGATTCTGATCCACAAAAACGACCGTCAGCTAATGAAGTTTTTTATGAACTTCAACGGTGGATTGAAAGTATGGAAAGGTTTGATGATGATGAAATTAAAAAGCATTTCGTGGATGCGGATAAATTAATTAAAACCATTCCATCAATCCATCCGGACCATATGTATACATCCAAAATTATTAATACACAAATAATAGCGGGTGGACTTAAAGGTACTTTCTTTAATTCATATATTATAGTATCTAATACTGAAAATACGCCATATTATTTTTTATTTAGGTTTTGGAAAATGTGAACAATGTAATCAAAATAACACAAGCGAAGCATGGTGTCGAACGTGCGATCCTAAAATGGAGACTCAAGGATGGGCAAGTGGAAATGATAATATTGATAAATGCATTAAAGAATTTCAACTTAATGCCTTAGCTTATACGAAGGTAATTGAATGGATTCCATTCGATAGACTAAATATTATTCAAAAACTTGGCGAAGGAGGATTTGGTTCTGTATATCTTGCAACTTGGTTGGATGGCATACGAAAAATTGATTATGCTAATGAGCGTTATGTGAGAACTCGTGAACCATATAGTAATGTTGCAGTTAAAACATTGTTTTATTTTGAGGAAAACCTCAGTTTAAATGAAGTAAGTTGAATCTATAATTGTCGCTGAAGTTAGTTAATGCTGAAATTGAGATCTCTATTTGAACATACAATAATCCAATCATAATTTTAATCTAATCTAAAAAGATGAATAAATGTCCCAAATTTTTTTATACAACTAAATTTCAGCATTAACAATTCCATGATTAAGACATTATTCATTAATACATTTATATAAATTTTCAAGTTCATCAACCACATAAGATGTGGTTTAATGGGCATCAAACTTAAAGTTTATGGCCTAACTCGGAATACAAAAACCAATGAATACATGATGGTAGCTCAGTATGCCGATCTTGGAAGTCTTCATAAATTTTTAAGATCAAAATTTAAGGAACTTACATGGCAGACTAAATTAAAACTACTTATCGGTATTTTAGAAGAGTTACGCGATATTCATTATGCAGGATTTGTTCATGGAGACTTTCATAGTGGCAATATTTTATTAGACAAAAATATGGAAATTTATGTATCAGATCTAGGACTATCCATAAAAGAGAATGAAAATGACTCAATGGACAATATTTACGGTGTCATGCCCTATGTTGCACCGGAAGTTTTATCAGGCAAACAACAATTTACACAAAAAGCGGATATTTACAGTCTTGGTATTATTATGTCTGAAATGTCAGTTGGGCAAAGGCCTTTTGATGGATATAAATTTAATGATGACCTTGCAATGAAGATTTGCTATGGATTACGCCCAGAATTCGCAGACAAAACTCCTAATTACTATATCGAATTGGCAAGGCAATGCATTAATTCAAACCCACAAATACGACCTACTGCTTTCAATATATATAATGAAATTAATGATTGGCTTGATAAAATAAAAGGTTCGGATTACGTAAACGAAGTTATTAAACGTAAAATTAGATATGGGCTTGATAAAATAAAAAGCTCGTATGATGTGGGCGAAATTAAAAAACGTGAAATTGATTATTGGTTTGATAAAGTAAAAGGTTCAGATAATATAGATGAAATGATAAAACAACTTAAATATCAGCTTGATAAAATAAATGGTTCAAAGGACATAGACGAAATTAAAAAAATTAAAAAGCAAGTTAATGATGGGCTCGATAAAATAAAAGGGTCTAATTACGTAAATGAATTAATAAAACATAAAATTAAATTTTGGCTTGATTGGCTTGACGACCTTGAAGACATAAAAGTTTCAGATAACGTATACAAAATTAACGACCTTGACGAGATTGACGACATAAAAGTTTTAGATAACGTATACAAAATTAACGACCTTGACGAGATTGACGACATAAAAGTTTCAGATAACAAATACAAAATTAACGACCTTGACGACATTGACAACATAAAAGTTTCAGATATCGTATACAAAATTATAAAGCAACTTAAATATTGGCTTGATAAAATAAAAGATTCAGAAGACTTAGACAAAATTATAATTAAAGTTTCAGATAACGTAGACGAAATTATAAAGCAACTTAAACATTGGCTTGATAAAATAAATTATTCAGAAGTAGACAAAATTAAAAAACAAATTAATGATCAGCTTGATAAAATAAAAGGTGCATATTATGTAAACAAAATTATAAAACATCAAATTAAATATTGGCTTGACGAAATAAAAGGTTCGGATATCGTAGACAAAATTATAAAATTTATATATTGGCTGAATAAAATTGAAGATTCAGATATCGTAGGCAAAATTATAAACCTTAAACATTGGTTTAATAAAATTGAAGATTCAGAGAAATTAAACGAAATTACAATAAAAGCTCCAATTAATTTAAACAAAATTATAAACCAATTTAAATATTGGTTTGATGAAATAAATGATTCAGACGTGGACGAAATTAAAAAACAAATTAATGATCAGCTTGATAAAATAAAGGATTCAGATTATGTAAACGAAATTATAAAACATCAAATTAAATGTTGGCTTGACGAAATAAATGTTTTAGATCTCGTAGACAGAATTATAAAACTTAAATATTGGATTTATAAAATTAAAGATTCAAAGAAATTAGACAAACTTACAAAAAAAGTTTCAAATAACTTAGATGAAATTATAAACCTATTTAAATCTTGGCTTAATAATAAAAGTGATTCAAAGAACGTAAACGAAATTAAAAAACAGATTAATGATCAACTTGATAATATAAAAGACTCAGATTATATAAATGAATTTATAAAATATCAGATTAAATGTTGGCTTAAAAAAATAAATGATTCAAATGACGTAAAAGAAATTATAAAGCAACTTAATAAAATTAATGATTCTAAGAAATTAGGCGAAATTATGATAAAAGTTTCAGTTAACGTAGACGAAATTATAAAGCAACTCAAAGATTGGCTTGATAAGATAAATGGTTCAGGAGTTGATGAAATTAGAAAACAAATTAATTATCAGCTTGATGAAATAAAAGATTCAAATTACATAAATGAATTTATAAAACATAAAATTAAATGTTTGCTTGACGAAATAAAAGTTTCAGATATTATAGACAAAATTATAAAGCTTAAACATTGGTTTGAAGATTCAGAGGAATTAGACGAAATTATTATAAAAATTTCTGAAAGATTAACCGAAGTTACTACAAGAGTTTCAAAAAATTTAGACGAAATTATAAAACCACTTAAATATTGGCTTGATGAAATAAATGATTCTGAAGATGTAGAAGAAATTAAAGAACAAATTAATGATCAGCTTGATAAAATAAGAGATTCAGATTATATAACCGAAATTATAAACCATAAAATTAAATGCTGGCTTGATAAAATTAAAGTTTCTGATAACGTTAACGAAATCAAAAAACAAGAAATTAGTTATTGGTTTGATAAAATAGAAGGTTCAGATGACGTAGATGAAATTATAAAACAACTTAAATATCAATCAGAAGACGTAAATAAAATAAAAGATTCAGATAATGTAGACGAAATTATAAAACAACTTAAATACTGGATTAATAAAATAAAAGGTTCTGAAGACGTAGAAAGACTTAAAAAACGAATTAATGATCAGCTTGATAAAATAAAAGGTTCGGATGACATAGATAAAATAAAAGGTTCAGATGACATAGATAAAATTATAAAACAAAAGATTAAATGTTGGCTTGATGAAGTAAAAGTTTCAGATGACATAAACGAAATCAAAAAATGTGAGATTAGTTATTGGCTTGATAAGATAAAAGGTTCAGATAACATAGTCGAAATTGAAAGGCAAATTAAATATTGGCTTAATGAAAGAAAAAGTTCAGATGACATAGACAAAATTAAAATGCAAATTGAATGTTGGACTGATAAAATAAAAGGTCCAAATGACATAGACGAAATTAAAAAACTTATCGATTATCAGCTTAGTAAAATAAAAGGTCTAGACAACGTAACCGAAATTACAAACCAGTTTTTGGAATCTGACAAAATAATTAGTGAATTACCACTTAATACGCAAAAACATACAGACAAAATGTATACAAGTAAAACCATTAACACGCAACAGATATCAAAAATATTAAGCAAACCTATTGAAAATATGGAAATTCCTGAAGATTGTTGAGTTAGTTTGTAATGAAATTAACAGTCACGCGCGATTTATCGTAAAAAAAAATTATTATAATAGGGGAGTTGTTTATGTGATGCACTTTGTAAGAACTCCATGCTGACTTCTTTTTGGATCAGAAGGAAGAAAAGCATTAGTAGATGCACTTTGCTAGAACTTCACATTGATTGATTAATAACATTGGATTCAAATTAAACTCAAATAATTCAAATATTAAAATAGTTCAATAAATTAAAAATATGAATAAAATAAAGTGTTTAAACATCACGGAATTGCTAGCTATTTGTTTAATTTATCGTAGAATACATTTTTAGTTCGTAGTTTTTTCCAAGTACGGAATTATTGCAATATTTTTTGTACTATGGTTTTTCCAACGCCCCTAGCTGTCCCATAAAAAATTGTTCATCCCCTGTAATATTGACCAATCGAATTTCAGAATCAGGTGTAACGTAAAAATCGAAGCGAAGCCACTTTTTTTACAAAAAAATGAAAATAGCTCTAAATTTTAGTTAGGAAACCACATTTGCGGGCTAATTAAAAATGTTCCTAGAAATGTTAAGGCTTCTAGAGGATTTTCTGGGTCTGTAGTATCAACTGTTGGTGTGTTGGTTTCAAAAAGTATATTAGAAACTGATTAAAAAAGTGATTTTTGTTCGTGAAATTTTACAATAAACTCAACCCTAACCCTACGTTGTTCTCACCCTAACTCTACTATAACGCGGTTTAGTTTTACGCGAAACTTTTTACTTAAAAACAGAACACGTTAGTTTTGACTATCACGTTACACTTGATCTTAAAATTTGATTGGTCAAAATTACAGGGGTGAACAATTTTTTGTGGGAACGCTACCTATATGGGTTTTCCCCGTATTTATTTCCTTATTTGGGGAATGTCTAAAGTGGAGTAGATTCTAATAATATATAATTTATTGAATTAACTTTCGGGTTTGGGCTATCTTAGATTAAGGTTTTATTATTTATATATAGTCAAACCTCTTTATAATCACACACTTGGGATACAAAAATGCGTGATTGTAGAGAAGTGTGACAGTTTTAGAGGTCAAATTTATTATATTTAATAATAGTTTAATATGCTTATAAAGAATATGTGCTTGAGGTCGGGCTGTATATGCAAAATTGCCTTCCTGTCATTTTTCCTTAACTTACCCAAGGTAGGTTTAGACTGCCATTTTGTTTTTCACTTGTTTTGCTTCACCAACGATCATCAAATTTTATACAGTCAAACCTCTTTATAATCACTCACTTGGGATACAAAAATGTGTGATTGTAGAGAAGTGTAACAGTTTTAGAGGTCAAATTTATTATATACCAGGAACGGAGTACAAAGTACGTAGTGTATGGTTTACAAGCGAGTGTGCGATTCTCGGCATCTGATTGGATAAAAATCCCTTGTGACTTTTTGTAGCACCCCGAACAGTACTAAAAAAGTTTAATAGAAATAAATTGAAACGATATACTTTAGAGAAACTTTGAATTTTTAAAAATATAAATATTATATATTTAATATATTATAATAAGTTCTATTAACTTTCTTGTAAGAAACTGATTTATGTCTAATATGTGCTATTAAATATATTATAAATATATTATCAATATATTATAAACATATAAATATTATATATCTTATATACTATAATAAGTTCTATTAAGTTTCTTGTAAAAAACTAATTTATGCCTAATATGTGCTATTAAATATATTATAAATATATTATTAATATATTATAAAAATTTAAGTATTATATATCTAATATATAATAATAAGTTCTATTAACTTTCTTGTAAAAAACTAATTTATGCCTAATATGTGCTTTTAAATATATTATAAACATATTATAAATATAAAATCTTTATAAAATCATTACCTTTTTAAAATATATTTGATATGTAACAACAAGCTAAATAATAAATCTGTAACACTTTTATAAATATTTGTAAAAATAGATTAATTTTGTATTATAAATAAATTTTAGTTATATTACAAGTAAA